TTCTGTATGTCTTCACCCAAAATCCTTAGGAGAGGAATGAAGAGAAAGTGTCACATACTGTTTTTTGTCTTGTTTGTTTTTTCAGACAGGGTCTCATTATGGAGTCCAGACTAGCCTCGAACTCATGGTGAACCTCTAGCCTCAACCTCCCAAATACTAGGACTACAGAGGTGTGCTACCATACCTGGCTAGAAAGTGTCTCATGTTGTTTTTGCCTTTTCTATTTTTCTTTTGTAAATACATGACACTGGGTAAAGCATAAGTTTTTATTGGTAATACCTTGTAAAAAAAATAACTGATTCGAATGCTTAGTAGCTTACAGGCTTATCTCTACAGCACTGTTACTGAAGTGAGTTAGGAGAGTAGGAGAAAGTGAATTGGCCTATAGCCAAAGAAATTTCAGGGTAAAATTGATAATACTACTTAATAGAAATTTACTAGGTTCTAAAATGGCAACTGGAAATCTACTCCATAGATAATCCCTACTCTAATTTTAGTCAACAGAATTAGTACCAATATGTTCCTTCTTCAAAAATTTTACTGAAGATATAAACAAATAGACAAAGAATAGAAAAATTAACCCATGCAAGTAGAAGTCCTTCATATTGCAGGTGCTGGCACATAAGAAAATAGCTAAAAGGCCCAAAATATAGATGCTGGGTTTGTTTCCAAATATGGTTCAATCTAAGAATACCACTTGGATAAAAATGAATTTATTAAGAGTAGGATAAATTTAGAAAGATTTTTTTAACTTTAGTAGCTTAAAATTCTTGGCCAAACGTCAATAAGAAACAGATGGAGATAAATTAATTGCTTCTTTCAAATATAAAAATCCAAAGAAGTTATGTATTTATTTCTTAATTTTTAGTTTCCCAGCCCCTAAAAAAGCAAGAACGGAACAATCAGGTTTCTGCACAACATTACAGACTCATTTTCATGAGGTAGGTCTGTCTCACTGTTAGGTAGAAATCTGGACCCCATGAAGTTAATGTCTTGGAGTCACCCTGGAAATCCTTAATGGCAAAACAAGACCAATATCCAAGGCTTTATGCTGGTCTGTGTGAATACCTTTAGTCCAAATCACTTTTTATTTACCAGGCTGTCATTAAGAAGTGGTACCAGGTTAAGCCAATACAATTATCTGGATATACCTCTGGTCCTGAGGATGGAATAAGTGAGGGAAAGAAACCAACACTACTTACAGCTTTGTGTTACAAACACTGGAAACATTAACTTTAGGCAACACAAAGCTGAAATGTCTAATATTTTTCTCTGGTAACTAGGATGGGCCTTTCTTTTGAGTTTGCATTCATCAGGTTCATCCAATACAAGGACTTGGTTGTTCTCATCTTGACCACTCTTACTCTATATACAGAAGAAATGGGTTTCCTCTGACTGTCAATAAAGATTTCTGATGATTCTTGCTTCATTTCAGAAAACTTGAAAGTAATGTTGGCTTGCCCTATACTTTTAGTGGACTTGAAATAATTCCAATACAAAAGGAACAAAATTCAGGGTGAAGTTTATAATAATAAAATGAACTGTGTACAAGGATGAAAACTGCAACTTCAGGAAATATAATCTGAAACAGCTATAAAAGTATCAATAAAATTATTAAGATTATTTCATTTTTATTCCTTTAAAAAAGACTTAAAATAATGTAACCAATGCTGTAGTTTCACTTGTTATTTCACAAAAGAAAACATCTCTATTTCACAGATAAAGGGGATATTTATGATTATCACATTCTATATTAGAAAACAGCTGTGCAATATTTCAGGTTAATGTAGGGTCTCTTATTATGAATGTATCAACAAATATGCTTACTTACAAAACATTTGTTATAAATAAACATAGCTTGTGATATGAAAAATATACATGCACACCAGATTATTCAATCTAGCCTGGTCCTTGATTCTTTTCTCATTTTTGGAAAGACTATAATGACAGAATAACAGTTTTCAAAAAATACCAGAGAATTACATCTACATATTTCTAGAGACAACAAAATAATACTGGTGAATGTTGAAGGACAAAAGATTCTTGGTTTTTCTGTTCTCGTTTTTGCTCTGAGGACACCTTCTCAAAGAACAGAAAGTTTGTTTAGAAGTGTCATGAACTGAAAAGCATTGAGAAATAATACAAAGTTCAATAATCTCAGTTTGATAATTCTATAAACTCAGACTTTAGAACAAATATTTGAGACATTAACCAAACCATTCATACTAGTACATCCAAGTGTGAAAAAAGCAAGCTACATGCAAGATTTCATTAATACAGAAGTTAAAAACAAAAAACGAAAAAACAGGTTAGGCATCCAAGTCATGTTCTGAAGAGAGTGCTCGCATATACTTTAGGGAAGCCTTATAAATCAACATGCAAACAGAGGACATATACTTGTTACAATAAAACTTTAGCTCACAAGACCAATGATTACAAACAATTGTTTTAAACACAAGTGCAAGAATAAACACCTGAAGTTATCAGAAAAACAAACTGTAACAACATAGAGTTTAAGCTTACTATAATGGCAAAATATTGCTTCTACAGGTAGCAATATAATTACTTAAGCCATAAAGAAGTAAAGAAGTAAGTATTTTAACTCAGAGAAAGGTTTATGTGTAGATCTTGAATAAATCTGTATTCCAGGAATTTTAAATATAAGTATAGTCTGAGAAATTCAGCCCTGGCTGGAGGCCAAGGGGCACCAGCACCATTTTCCTTAAACTAGTTCAACATTCCACATATGAAAAGATGGCATTTAACCTCTGCAGATCCTTCTATTCACCAAGAAGGATAAAGTCACCTCTCCCTGTCCAGCTCAGAAATACTCATAAAAAGGCCACAGATGTCAAAAGCCCTTTTCCAGAAAAAGGCCTTTGTATATACTAGTTTGTTATTCTAAGAAAAGGAGTGGTTATGGATTTATCGATTTAAATATCGTTTTAAGGCTTTTGAAAGGTTAGGAAGTTGAATTTTTTTCCTTAAACTATGGAGCCCATGCCACACAAATGACTAGAAGGCTGAGAAAATGTCCCATCATAAGTTTCTAGAGAGTATCCTGATTTGTATGAGACACTGGAGAGGAGGACACGGCCACAGTCATCAGTAAGAACATGCAGGATAAGAGAGTCAAAGCTTTTGGGAAAAGTACCAACCCGTTATATGCTTAAATTTATTTGTCTAAATTTATTAAACTTCAGTGCAGAAAAGCTGGCTTGGGTAATCCATTGCTACTCCTTTTACCTCACAATACAGGATCTACAAAAAGTAATATCTTATTGACAGAAAGATGATCACAAGAGCTCCCCTAGGACAGTGAACAATCAAGATCATATGCATCATATAGGCAATTATATATTTGAAGCTAACAATAAAAGTTCAGTGGTTTTAGTCTTGACATTTCTTATAAGCACCCTGTTTTCCGATCACAGAAAGACCAACCACCAAACAGCCAATGCAAGGACTATGAGAAAAGACATCATGAAAGGAATACGAGGAGAGGGAAAGGTACTAGAGTAGAGGTGGCACTTTTTGAGAGACTTGTAATCCTCAGGGATTGGAATAGAAACCTTGGGAAGAGTTTCTTCATTTTCTTGCTGGGGCAAGGCTCTTTCAGTAGATCTCTCTTGCCTTTTAATTTTCTCTTCATTCTGTACTAACAGAGCACGTTCCTGTGTCTGCTTTCACGGTAGAAGATCAAGAAAGACAGAGAAAGATGAACAAAATGACAGATGGAGAATACTCAAAAATGAAACTTGGGGATGTGCAAAGGATTTGGAAAGACTTTTTGGACACTCTTTATTTTAGAGTCACTTTACTCTGGCAATTTATCCTAGCTCTCTATATATCTTATCTGTATTATACAGTAGGGTGCTCAACAGTTAATTTTTAAAAATAAATATCAGGATGACTGAAAGTTCAAGAGTTACTAAGCCTTCTGCATTTATTCCTCTTTTGAGGATATTCACATTATTCATTTTTTCACATGTGAATTTTGGGTCATTTTTCATTGTTTAGTACTGCCAATCACCAATGAATTGGGCTATGCCAGTAACAAAGTGTTCTTCTTGCCATGAAAAAAGTTACTTTTATTATAAATAGAATGGCAGACTACAAAACATAACCTTCATATTCCTTCATATATACTTAAAAAGTTGTAATAGTTCAGTATAATAATTAGCTTTTGCTTAAGGAATTAAAAGTCATAATCTTATATATTTTAAGGATTGAAAAAAAAAAACAAAGTATAAAATGTACCTCCAGGGACTACCCCCCCCAAAAGGAAATAAAATAAAGCAACCCATAAGATCTTAACAATTGTACATTCTTAGAATCAAGATTAAAAATAATGACCAACATGGAGGTTTATATATTACATTAAGTAAGTACTTTTGACAATTTTAAGGAAAGTTTTTTTCCTAATTGTCCAATTGAGAAATTTTCTGCCTCTGCAATTTCTGCCTTCTGTTACACAGTCAAGATAGATGTTGTCTATGACAAGAAAAACCTGGCTCTAAGCTCTCTCAGCTGAGCTAGCCTTCTCTGGTCAGTCTGGAAGTTCAACACTGGTTCTTTGCACACCCCTAAGTGATATGTATCAGGGAGAAAGTAGCTAGGGGACTGGTCAGCAAAAAGAAAAAGGAAAAAGACAGGATGCAAATTCGTAATGATTTTTAAAAGAAAATAAAGTGGGAGAAGAAAGACAACATAAAAAGAATAGGGTATAATTAAATTCATTTTCTCTCTGAATACACATTTACATCTTCATGCAGCTTTTCAAACAGCCATGCGCCAGAATAAGCAAACCGAAGGCTGCAAACGCTGCAGCAGTGAAAGTGTAATGTGTTAGGCCAAAAGGCTGTGGGCATGAATTTGCTAGTATAGCCAAAAGAAAAATTAATCAGCAGCTGTTGTTCAGCTCTAGGGGGAGTCTCTGCTTAGTGCCATTACAAGAGCAAATTCTGATTGAGAAGCACAAGTCATAACAGCAGCTTTACCTCTGGCCCACCAACCTTTCTTTCCGAGGGGAGGATAGAGGTTTTCTTCACCTGGTCATACACAAATTGTATAAAATTCAATTGCCTTGCAATGCAACAACAATGCTGTTAAAGGTGGAAGAGGTATCCCCAAAGAACAGAAATATTATACTAATTATTAAAGAAAAAATAAAATATGCCAGAAAGTAGAATTATCCCAATATAAAAGGTTATCAAAGTATAGTTCTATTTATCTCATTCATTTAGAGGGGTAAATATACAGAAGCATGAGCTAAAATTATGTAAGTCCTCCCCATGGATCTTAGTTTATAAAAAGTCATTTCTTTAAAGCCCACAAATGACACTGCCATTCCCAAAACTAGCCCTGAGATGATTTCTGAAGGGTTTCTATTAAAAGACATAAGATACTTTCTGGAAGTAGTGACCAATACAAGTTTATCCAACCTCATGCAAGACAGAACAAGTTATTTTTTGAGCATCATTTATGACTTGCAGTTAAAAACAAAACTAGAAAATTTGCAGTTATGATTTGCAGATGGGGTTATTGGATGAGGTTGTAATAAGCTATTTTCTCACTTGCAGAGTTTCAAATGGTACGCTCAAAATCATTCATTTAGATTAGCCAGATCCCCTCAATTCAAACCAAGCAACAACTCATGCTGAAACTTTATGATTCTTATTACTAGGGAAATATCCAAAAGGAGTAGCTGACACTGAGAGCGGTGGACTCAATAGAAAGCAGGGTTACTGTCCCAGTTCAGAGTATGTATGTTCTCTACATTTAGAACTCAAAACTAAGGTCCAATGGTGCCAGAGAATGGAGGCTGAGAGGACAATGAGTGGGAGCACCTGTACCCTATCATTCCTGGTAATTCTAATTAGCTGCCAATTACTCAGATATTCTCCAGCTTTACTTGTAAAAATGTTTCGGCAATGGAGAATGGTTAGCCAATTTTAATCGCATTTTTAAAAATACAAAAAATGCCCTCTGTGGAACAACGCTTATCCTTTTGTCCAGTTCCAAAAAACTGAAAGTTTGTATAGTTTACAAAATTAAAAAACAAACAAACAAAAAAAGGTTTCTAGTGTGTGTGTGTTACTGTGGATTGAGCCCAGAGCCTTTGAGCCCAGCTACATCTCCAGCCCTTTTTTTGCTTTGTATTTTGAGACAAGGTCTTGCTAAGTTACTAGGTTGAACTTGCAAATCCTCCTACCTCAGCCTCCCACAGTGTTGGGATTACAAGTGCCGCCACACCTGGCTCAGGCTGACCTTGAACTTCTAGACACAGTGATCTTGTGCCTCAGCCTCCTGAATCTGGAACTATGGGCACACACCACTGTGGCTTGCTAAAAACCCTAGGTGTGTTTAAATGGAACCTTAATTTATCTTTCTTAACTAGAATTGCTTATCTGGGGGGAGGACAGGGAATGAGCATATAGTTTAAAAACCATGATGATCACTCAGTCATCACAATTATATAAATATTTAATGTGCACCAACTAAAGATAAAGACTCTTTGCTCAAGTAACTTTCAAGATATTTTCATTAAACAGATTCACTTATTTAGATGTAGGATTTCTAAAATAGGTAATGACAATAACAGAAAAAATAACTCCTAGAAGGTACCTCTGGCTTTTTTAAATTTGACTAATAAAACAGCATATTAAAATTTTGACATTACTCATAAAGACTAAATTATCAGTCATTTTTTAAAACTGAAATGCAATCATTAACACTTGGCGTTTTGCATTCTTAGGCTTATGGGCCTCCTTGGTATATTATATAACTGTACCATTCCAGGCATTTCTAAGTTGTACAAATGTTCAAATAAAGTTTTAAAAAATGACAATCCCTTTCCAATTCTGACCTTACTAAATTTAGTCAACTTTCTGGTCCTGGAAGGCACATTCTGAATATAAACAAAGTTTTACTGGCGTGTGCTCAATTTATAAACACATATGAGCTAGAAGCATGCATTTTGGAGACAGTTCTCAGAGTCTAATCATCTATTAGTAACTCTCAATGGCTCTCACATTGAACTGGTTGCCACCTGAGATGAAAAATAAATTTTGATTGTGAATGCCTTAAACGGCAATGAACTGGTGAGGCACCAAAGCTAAATTTCAGCTTTAAACTTCTCAGAAACAGAATCTTAACACACAAGAATATTTATCCCGTTCATTCGCAGAATCAGTCGTGTGGATAAAGTACTTACTCCTTCTCCTGTGGGGATCTGCCCATTGATGTTAAGAGCTCGGAATGGGGAGTGAGTAGATAAGCGTTTATCCCATTCGCTAGGCCGTGGTTCTGGTACAGATTCCATGAAGTTCTTTTTCAGCTCACTGATGCTAGCATGATGTTTTTTTATCTCTTCTTGACTTTTGTCTAAATCCTACAGTTGAAGGACAAAAATGCAAAATAATAAGTAATAAAGACAAAAACCACACCAAGGACAACCCATCAGAGATTGGGCACTGGTAGAAAACACACCACATCCAGGATAGATATTACTAATTCAAATTGGAAATATATATCATGGTATAATTGCTTCTTTTTTTTTTTAACTCAAGGTGCTTTTCTTGAAAGCAGTGAAGCATCACAACCCCCTAGCTCTAGTTATGTAACCCATAAACAGCTCACTCCTTAGTTTTATGACTCTTCTTCCCAATATGATGCAAAACCAGATCTCCAACTCCTCATCCATTCAATTAAGAACTGATTTAGGCTCAGCTCAAGCAGGATGGAGAAAGCAATAAAGACACAAACTATTAAATGAAGGACATGGTGAAAGATTCAACTTCCACCACTGGCTGCTATACCTTGGAGAGTTCTAACAATAAAAGTATTCCTCTATTTCTACCGGAGAATTTTTTACTTCTGTATTTTAAAATGGGTATTTGTTCTTTTGATAAACAAGAATAACCCTTTTTTGATATAAGAACATTTTCTGCTAAAATTCCTAATGTTTCCAGATTCAACTGTTACTATCTGAAAAAACCAGTCAGGGGTATGTAATATAATAACTTTTCCCCTTTGTCAATATTATTTACACAAACTAAAAGTCTAATGTCTTATAGCTGCTTCACCCCAGTACAAATCAAAATAGGGACATTTTGGAGTAGGGAAAGCAGCTCAGTGGTAGAATACTTGCCTAGCATGTTCAAGGCCCTGGGTTTGATCCCCAGAAAGAGCAGCACCACAGTGACCGAAAAAGGGGAGGGGAATTTTCCAATAACCTTCAAAGGATTGGGAGTGACAAGAATTCATCAAATAGTGGGTAACAAGAGTAAGAGGCAAACTCTAAAAGAGGATTCTAGGGACAAATGATCAAAACTAAGGTGAATAAAGCACAAGCTAGAAATGCTCAGGTTTATGTAAAAGTACTACACAATAGCTTTGAAAAAGGACACGACCAAAAATAGTCTAGTAAATATAACTTTAAGATGAAGATGCAATAGTCTTTGTCCAACAGTGCTTCAAAATACTTAAAAGTTTGACTGAGATCATAATATTTAGAGCCCATCACTTGATGACTGTAAAAAATTCTGTTTGTCATATATTAAGAAAGCTCTGTATCCAAGAAAAACAAAATGCCAAACATATCTCCTAATACGTTATAAACTTAATATTTCTTTTTTGGCTCTGTGGAAAATAGTTTCACTTTGAGAAAAAATAGAATTCATTTAAATCAAAATTTGTTTAAAAGTTTTTCTAAGGGTAACATAGGCTCCTACCAAATAAAGTTTTTTCAAAAGCAACATCAAAGGGAAAATAGCACAGGAAAAAGAATAAAAAAGAATCAGTGAAATACATGACAACAATATTGATTCTGGACGTATCTGTTCAGAAAATTCACTTACTATTCTCATTATTATTTTTGCAAGACTGATCCATGTACACTTGCCTGGGATGAGTCAAAGAGAAAACTAGGGGCCGGTGATTTAGCTCAGTGGTTTGGTGGCCTGCCTTGCAAGCGCAAGGACCCGAGTTCAATCTCCGGTACCAAAAAAAAAGGAGAAAACTAACCAAAAAAGGGTAACTTTGTAGCTCCCCTGTAAGAGTAATTTTGCTTGCTGGGCAAAATGAGAATCTATCTTATGAATAAAAAGCTTCACTAAAGAGGACCTATAGTTTGTACTTTTGTTCCAGCTAGAAACAAGAAAAACATGTTTATTAGCTTAATAAAAGCATAAACAAGCCCACTCAAGGACTCAGTATTGGACTGAGCAAATGAGACCCACCGGACATATGAGGCCCTGTGACTAAGCTCTGAGTGGAAATCTACCTGTTTGAGACAACTTAACATATTTGGGAGGGTTAAAAGTATGACTGGAGCAAAACAAAAATCAACAAGAGATACTATGTCAAAGTCATAACTCTGAGTTAGTATCTTAATAAGATAGACTGGTGACGTGTTACTCTTCTTGCCTAGCTTTGGACTGGCTTGGAACCTAAGAAAATAAAGTTTCCAATAAAATGAGTAGCTTCTGAGAGAGCTTTCTCCATCCTCCTTAGCTGGCTTTGACAGAAACCTGTGGGGGCACAGAGTAAAATTAAGATCTCAAAGGGACCTGTTCCAAATAGAACTTGTCACAGACATTTGCTACAGGTTCTCTCTGGGAGATGAAGGAGGAGGTGGTAGATCTAAAAATGAATCCGACCTTATTTGTGCCAGAACAAAGCATTAGTGGGGGTGGGGGAGGAGGAGGTAGGGAGGAGGATGCTTAAAAAAAAAAAACAAAAAAAAAAACCTGCTAGGTGACAGATAACTTGAAAGAACTTCCTTATGGGGGAAAACACTTTTTAAAATAGCTAAAGAATGATGGTCAGTCAAATTATTTTGGCTGTGTTGAGATTAGGCAACTTTTACCTATCATCTACTTTTTAAGAAACAATCAAACCAAACAGTTCATTAGATACAAAATGTTCTCAAAAGGCAGTTAGTAGTTTTAATTGTCAAACACACAGTTATTTAGAAATCTCCTCTCATGGCTGTCAGTGAAATGCTGGGAAAAAACATCACACAGAGGGACTTCAGGAGTCTCAGAAGCCATCACACACCTCAGAACAGATGCCAAATATATGATTGGTACTGCAGGTTCCAGTTAATTAGCACTGAAGAGGGACTGGTCAGGAGATGTTTAAGGTTGGGAGATGGTTACACTGCTGAGTAAAGGAGATAAATCAACATCTACTATCCTTCCTAATCTCTGAAGATGGAATGATTCAGTTCTAGTCTCAGATTTGGGCCAAAAGAAAGAGATCTCGTTTCTAAGACTGATACATCTGAGAGTTCAAAAAAATTCATGTTCATGAGATGAATGTATGTAAAGCACTTAGCAGGTATTGTGCCTGTTATACTGTATGTTTAATGAAAGCTCAACATAATTTTTACAACTTTTATCAAAGTTCTACACAAATAACAAGCATTCAAAAATATAGGTATTGACAAAAATAAGATGAAGTTAAATAATTACTAGAGACCATATATTAAGCCAAAATTCTGTTATTATTAAAAGTTACCTTAAAGTTTTGGTTTGATATTTATCACATTTAATATATGTTCATCTTTTAGATATCAGTTAAAATGTCACTTTTCATCTCACTTAGAATAGATCCTTTTTGTTACTATAGCATACTGTTTATTTCCTATATGGTTTTTATAATAGCTTGTAATTACTTTAATCATTTGTTTACATATTTATTGTTCTCTCCTTCCCAGTTCCCTATGTTGTAAGCTTCCTGAAGGGAGGAACCATGTTTATCATCTTCCTATAATTTGCATTTCCTTTAAAGTGAAGTTAAATCCCTGATGTAAGAATTTATATTCATTTCTTATGGTTCTGCCTTGAATGGAGCTGTAAAATAATCTGGTCATTAACTTCTACACAAGTTTTTTTCTGATGTGTGAATTAAGTTGATCTCAGTTTTCTTCTACATGGAGTAATTCCACTTTCTTTAATTTTTCCTCATATACCCCACTAAGCTTCTAAGTAGTTTTATATTTCCTATCCAATGTGGATCCCCAAACTAAAGTATATTTTATCTCTAGATTAATACAGGTCTGGTAAAAAATTTGACCAATTTTGAATATAATGGGAAAATGACCTTAAAGTTCCTACAGCAGAAAGTACATTACTATTTCTGAATGGAAAACAGTGTAGTTTAATAAATGGTACGTTACTATTTCTGAAAGAAAAACAGTGTAAGTTTAATAGAGTTATGTAATTCCTAATTTAAATCCAATTTACCAGCTCTGTGACCATAAGGGAATTAATTTCTCTAGGCTCCAATTTTCTCATCTTTAAAATAAATGTATCATTCTCACAGGCTTGTTTTCATAATTAAACTTCTTATAGTAACTATTTATTAAATACTAGACTCTCTTCTTTCTTATCTTACCCCCTAACCTTTCTTCAGTAATTTCCTACTATCTCCACTATTATAAATCTATTCTAAATTGTGATATTTTTATACTCTCTCAGCTAAGAAAAAAAAGTGAAAACTTGAGGCATGTAGAAGTTAAAATATTCTTGGAAAATTTAAGGAACTTCTAGTGGTGATGTAGAATTTTCTGCACATAGGTAAAATAATGGAGCTATGAGAGGCAGAGGTAGTCCCAATCATATATTTTTAAAAAGATAGTATGAGATGAAAACTAAAAAGAATCAGAAGGAGAGATGGTTGCATATCTTCATGTTTACCAACATGCAAAAGCATTTTAAACCTAAAAATCTCTCATGCAATGGCATGCAAAACCAAATGCAGCATAGAATGAAGAAAAGGGAATCAGTAAAGAATGCAGAAGATCCAGGCAACCAACTGAAATAAGCTTCAAGTTCATACAAACCTCCAACATTAAATTGCTATGTCTGATATAAATGTTTTCACCATCTAGTCTCTCTCTCTTTTTCTGTGAAAATGAAAGGGGGAAAAACAGAAAAGCATAAAAAATTAAAATGTTGTTCTTGCAGGAAAAAACTGCAAATTGGCAAACCAAAAAATATTTGAAATTAAATGTCCGCAGTGCAGATATGCCAACATGGAATGGTCACAGAACCACAAGGACACAGAGAACTTGATTACCACTAGAAAATAAATGACCTTGTTTAGGAAATGATGAGAGACTGTGCTGATATTAGTTAGACAGTGCTCCTGGCTTCATTGGCTTCTTATATAAGTTGCTTCATGTTTATTTTGGAAATTGAACTGTTTGAACGTTACCCTAAAATAATGTCTTTAAAAAGTGTTGAGATCTCACATACCAGGGAGTAAAGAGATGCTTTAAAAATATTAGAAGTATTTCATATTTACTAATACTCCAGTATGTAAATATCTAATACCTTTAACAGGAAAGGTCAAAAGGCATTTTAAACTTGATCAACTAATAAATATATCCAATAAGAACTGATGCATCTCACTGTGTAGATAGGAAGAATTAGGCACATAGCGATCAGACTCATTAATGATACTGTGAGTTGTTGCTATGATGGTTTTTATGATAAATGTGGATAAAGCATTGTCAATGATTTCTCAAACATGTCCTTGTGAAATAGTTCTTATAAATTTGAATATGAAGAATAAGTTTGACCCTCATTATTTTATTTTGTTAAAAATATTATTTACCTACTGGAAAGTATAATAAAATCTTTCAATAAACAGTACAGTGTAAGATTAGAATTCCTTTGGCATATATATATATATATATATACACACACACACACACACACACACACACACACACACACACACACACACACATATATATGTATACATGCACATTTATATCTGCTCTTTTAAAGTAACTTCTGATTAAGAGAAGTCAATGAAAAGAATGGACCACTGTCTTTTTAATGCACTGTAAGTCAGCATGGGTGAAATGGCAATGTAGTTTTGTGAAAGTGAAAAATGGCTAACCTTCCTCATTCTTATCAGATCTTCAGTTTTTTCTGTAAGCTTCTGTTTTGCCATAATTCAAAAAGAAAAAAAAATTGGCTCAGTGAAGTCTGTTTGGGTATTTTATTTTATTTTATTTTATTTTTTAGGAAAGGGAGCAAAGGATGAAAAAAAAAATGAGAGGTGGAAGGAAAAAGGAACGTGTGGCCTGTTGACACAAACCTGTGTTTGGTCACCATTTGAGGTGAATACTGTGACCTCGATGTGGGTTTTTTCCACCTACATAAAGTGGCAAAAATACTTTAGGTTAGTAGGTTTCTGTGAATAGCATTGTTTCCAAATAAGCTGCATCATTAAGCTGGTTGTGAAATATGCCAACAGGTAACCATGATGCAGACTTATGGAGGGTGTTATAGGCAAGGATATTACTCCCAGTGGCACGTGTTAGTTTACTATCACATTTTCAAGGATGAAAACATAATACAGTGATCCAATTATAAAAATAGTGTTAAGGTAATCATTCTACTGATGAAATCATTTTTATATTTATTCATTAAAAAGTACCTACTAAAACTAAAAATAGAAAATAAATAAATAACAATAAAAACAGGCTTATTTGATACTATAGGCATATATTTTGTTTCGCCTTTTTTGGTAAGATCTGGAAGTACTTTAACACTGAAAAACAAACTTACAAATTATGATATCAATGTTAATATACTTGGCAGAAATAAAGATAATTTTTATAGCTAAAACACAAATGTAAATGTAGTAAACCATATATGATACCAAACAAATATATAGGATTTTGTTATTTGATCAATATATTTAAACAGATAATTTACTCTTTGGCTTATCACACAATAAAACATCAAAATAAACTTTACCCAAATTTTAACTGACACATGCAATTACTTCCAGGACTGATTTATACATTACACATAAAGGACTCAGCTACAACATTCACACTGCAATCCCCTCTCTAGACAGTTGGAGCCTATGTTTGGAGGTAGGGTAAAAGTCATTCTCAATAGGAAGAGATGAATAGAGATAAGGTCCCCTGTGTAGCTTTGAAATATCTTTAGGAACAGTCATTTTATGTAGCACAGAAAATGGGATGATTACTAAAAAGCCAGATAGGATAATACAAGGATGCAGTGACTATTACAAAAAATTAGAAAAAGTTTTTTTTTTGTTTGTTTGTTTGCTTTTTGTTTTTTGTACAGGGGAATCAAATTCAGAGCCTTGCACTTGCTCTGAGCTAAATCTCTGGCCTGAAAAAGGACTGTTTTTGTTAAGTAAGTCAATCACTTCCTATCATAAAATTTTTTATAGAACTTCATCAACCTCTGGCTTTGACATATTCTTTTTAATCATACTAAGCAGCATTACTTTGGAGTACAACAGTGTTGCACTGCTTTCTCTAGAACCGAATGTAAAAAATAAGACAACATCAAACTTTATAACACTGTCAAATCATAAGCACACCCAGCTTCAGCACTTTGAACTGCCAGGTTTACTAAGAATTCAATTGTTTCTACTCTGATTCTCGGCATACTTGCTGTGTGGCCTTGGACAAGTCATTTCACCTGTCTGAGCTCAAATGTTCATACTGAAAAAAGTGGAGATAACGTCTTCACAGAATTACGTATACTTAGCAAGCAGTAATTTAAGTTATTTTATAAAGCTTAAATTCTTTGTTTAAACAAATAATGAGTCTTTTTGGGTCTGTAGCAATCCAACAGGAAATTGAGAATCATCACTTCTCAAAAAACACACGGGCCGGGAATTTAGCTCAGTGGTGCCACCGCCGCCTGCCTCACAAGCGCAAAGACCCGGAGTTCAATCTCCGGTACCAAAAAACAAAACAGAACAAACAAACAACAACAAAAAAAACTGGGCTCAGTGGTTCATGCCTGTAGTTCCCATTACCCAGGGGATTGCTTGAGGCCAGAATAGTAACATAACAAGACAACATCTCAAAAATAAAATAAAATAAAATTTTAAAAAGGGTGAGTAGCAATAGTACCTTTGTGTATGCCCCTACATAGAAGATTCAACAGTACTGCTTCCATACCTACAGAATAGACTTTGCCAAATAACTGATGATGACAAAAAGCTTTTTTTTTTTGGTATCAGAGATTGAACTCAGGACCTCACACTTGCAAGGCAGGTGAGGTGCCACTGAGCTGCATCCCCAGCCCACAAAAACTCATTCTTATTTTGTACCAAACTATTGTGAGATAATTTACACAGTTGCAAGGTTATTTTATTACTACTACTGCTTTCTACAATACATATGACTTCAAGTAAATGGCACAATTATTGCCTAACTGCTACAAATAAAATCAGCTCAGATTCACCCTTAATTCTGGCATTACTATTACAGTGATAGGTTATCAGAGGTGGCTTTCAGTTGTATTCTAACACAAGTATCTTAAAACATACACAGTGCTTACTTAAAAATGAACTGGCAAACATACCCCCCCACACACGTATTTAAATGAAAAGATATACCAAGGAGTGTTCTCTTTATTTTGGTGAGGTCCCAAGAACAAAGGGAACATATTTTTAAAATTATTGTGTCAGTCTTATAAGCAAATGCACAAGTAAGCAGAAAGCCTGAGGAATCTTAGCCATTCAGGAAGATTACCTTGACAACTCCAATAATCTGAAACTTTTCTATTAGTATAAAAACAGAAGGATAGTCAAACCTGCCAGGTGATATATTGTAACATTAAAAATGGAGCATGTAATATTAAAAAGATATTGTTTAGATAGGCATGATAAAAAACATGCCTGTAATCTCAGTTTCTTGGGAGGCGGAAGCAGGAGCATCACAAATTGGAGGCCAGCCTGGACCACTCAGCAAGACCCCGTCAATGAAACTGAAGAAGGTCTGAGATGTGATACCTAAGTGGTACAGCGTATATCTAGCAAGTGAGAGCCCCTGGGTTAAAAATAAATTGTTTACATACTGTTATGAACATCTGGCTAGCAAACCTCCATCATCTATTCAATCTTTCTTTTTTCCTCTCTGTATTTAAGGTAAGTCTCAAAAATATAGGAAGACTGTATAACATATTTGACAGATTTTAGAAAAAAATATAGTTAGATTGTCCACTGTTCTATAGATTAAACTAATTGTTGATCTGGCTCCAAAAGAACGGGATTAATCCATATGCTAAAGTGAGAGCATTAAGATCTTACAATTTTATATTTTTTAATAGACACATAAAAATATAATTCTTATCACAACTGCTTCTCATTATTGCTGTCGGCAACAGTGAGACCTATAGTTAGTTTAATAAGCCTGGACTAATACCTTAACTCTATCACTGCTTAAATGTGCTTAAAAAGCTTACAAACATATAAAAGATCAGCGCAGTAATCATTACTTCTGGGAAATCGCTAATGAAATTGGTGATTTTTCAACTCGGTGCAACTGGGCTGTGAGTACAATCAATTCAGAATTGTAAGAAATTCAGCAGTATAACCTTTCATATATAATGGGTCCTCCTTTCTTATAATGCTACTTAAAATTTAAACCACACAAGATGGGCATGGTGGTGCAGGCCTGTAATCCCAACACTCCCTGAGGCAGGAGGATCGCTGTGAGTTCGAGACCAGCCTGGGCTACATAGTGAGTTCCAGGTCAGTCTCAAGTAAGACACTGTCTCAAAAAAAAAAAGTATATATATGTGTGTGTGTGTGTGTGTGTGTGTGTGTGTGTGTGTGTATTTAAACCACACAAATATGTTTTACATAACATATATTCTTTGGAAATATGCATACATTTATCTTAGGGAATAAAATTATATATTTTGTTGTGGCACTGGGAATTAAACTTAGGGCCTTCATACTAAGCTATATCCTTGGTCCTTGTCTTTCTTTTATTTGATTTGGTTTTTTTTTGAGACAGTCTCACCAAGTCACTAAATTGCCCATGCTGGATTAGAACTTGTGACCGTTCTACCTCAGCCTCCCAGAGTGCTGGGATTGTAGGCATGTGCCACTACACCTGGCCTAAAATTATATTTTAATCATAACAGCATAGCTGACTCCCAAACAATGTGGAGATTCCAATTACTTCATTCAGAAAGAACAAAGAAGAAATCTTTCATAATTTTATACGACTCAGTTGCTCTGAGAAACTTCCTGGTCAAGAAGCTAAAACCTGTCAGAAAGTCAATCAGTTAACTATACAGATTTATGACATACCTTCCATGCTTCTGTGGGCTCTGGTTCAGGTTGCACAGGTGGCTCTTCTTCCTTTTTCACTTCAACCTTCACTGTTTCCTTCTGTGTTTTTTTGACAGGTGCCCCTGGGACACCACCTTCTGTGACTTCACTCTGAGCAATGGCTGGTGCAGAGGTGGGCCGAGGACTTCGGTCTGCAGAATCATTAGCTGCTGGTATATGAGAAAGGGAAAATGGAAAAATAAGTGAAGGCCAGAGGCAACATACTACTTTAAAGTCACAGGAGAAATAACTGTGAATGCAGGACACATATGAAAGTGACAATGTCCAAGGGACCATCACACAGAAAGTAAAAAAAAAAGTATTAGCCCTCTGCCAGGCAACTGATGGCAACAAGATAGCTAGAGGTACCCTCAATAGAAAAGTTAAGACATATTAACAATCATATTCCATATACTAAATTCAGAGAAGAAATATCAAAATAATAAAAGAAAGTGAAAGCCAGCTGTGGTGGCACATGCTTGTAATCTCAGCACTCCGGAGGCTGAGGCAGGAGGATTGCCATAAGTTCAAGACCAGCCTGGGTTACATAGTGAGTTCAAGATCAGCCTGAACTACATGGCAAGTTCCTCTCTCAAAAAAAGAAAGAAAGAGAGAGAAAGAGAGAGAGAGAGAGAAATAAAAAAGTCATCATCATCATCATCATTGTTGTACTAGGGCTTGAAACTAGGACCTTCATAATAAGCTACATTACCAGCTTTTTTTTTTTTTTTTTTTTTTGAGACAGGGTCTTGCTAAGTTGCTAAATTACCCATGTTGGGCTCAAATTTGTGAGCCCAGTGTGCTGTGAATATAGGAATATGCCACCACACCCAGTTTTAAAAAATCATTAATCTTATAATGAGTTAGTTTCAAGAATTTGCAAATGGTGGGGTGTGGTGGTGCATGCCTATAGCCCCAGCACTTGGGAGGCTGAGGCAGGAGAATCTCTGTGAGTTCAAGACCACCCTGAACTATACAGTGAAATCTTGTCTCCAAAAAAAATTACCAGCAACTGCAGTCTGTGGAGAAAAAAAAAGGGGGCAGGGGTAAGTATGGTTTCTTCTACAAAACCTTTTTGAAATAAAGATTGTTATTTTTAGGTAGTTTCAGGAACCTAAAAATATATTCTAGGAAAACAAAGAAATGTCTGATATCTCTGTGAAGCCTCATTGGAATGATTACAAAACAATTTGATAAATGGCTCCTCTGATAAGACATGTACTACTTTTTGATGCTTCTAAGAGCAAAGCTTTGAACCAGACATTTACCCTTTTAATAATAAATCATTCAACTAAATAGGAATTAAAAATCTTTAGCCTTTGGTTCTCCCCCCAAAAAAACACCTTTTGAGTTGTGTTTTACCTTTTTTTTTTTTTTTTTTAAGAGTAGAGAATTTTATAGAGAAAGATAGCTTCTGTCTAAGAGAGACAGAAGGGAGTGTTTACCTTCTTTCAGATCCCTATGAATGGGCTGGGGATTTAGCTTAGTGGTTCTGCCGCCTGCCTCTCAAGCGCAAGGATCCCAGTTTGATCCCCGGTACCAAAAAAAAAACAAAAACAAAAACAACCAGATTCCTATGAATGTCTATTATAGCTCTGAGTCTCTAAAACATTTAGAGCAACAGTTCTCAGGGGGCAGTTTTGTTCCAGAGAACATTTGGCAATATCTAGGGACACATTTGGTTGTCATAACTAGGGTGGGGAGAGACCAAGGTTGCTGAAGTTGAGAGAACTTGATGTATGGAAAAGGGTGTGGGGATGGAACTCAGAATGTTGCACTTGGGAGACAGGCATGGTGCCACTGAGCTAAATCTCTAGCCCTGTATAGACTATTTTTTAGAAAACAATACAGGCTGATGATAAAAGCTTCGTCTTTTCACAGGGATTAACTGTTTTGGTTTGGCATCTAAGTTTTATATAGTTTGCTTTAGTCCCAGGGCCAGGTGGGTGACGCACGTTTGTAATCCTAGCACTTGGGAGTTTGAGGCAGGAGGATCATTTCAAGTTCAAGGCCAGCCTGGGCTACAGTTTGAACTACATAGTGAGATCATGTCTCAAAAAGAAAAGAAAACTTCTATATACTTTGTAATAAGATCATACTTATCTGACATTATCTAGGAAGTAAAGTGTTTTTCTATGATTTTTCTTTTTTTCTTTTTTTTTTTTTTTGGTACCAGGGATTGAACTCAGGACTTTGTGCTTGCAAGGTAGGCAGTGGAAACACTGAGCTAAATCCCTGGCGCAATGACTTAATATTTTTAGTAACAGATCATTATCCTTTCTTATACAGTTCTTAAACTTTAATTCTTTTTCATGAAAATCTTCATAAATTTTTGTTACACACTTTCCTTTTAAAACTGACTATCCTGAAAATAGCTTTTTGTTTTGTTTTGGTTTTGGTTTTTGGAGACAAGGTCTCACTGTGCATTTCAGGCTGGCCTCAAACTCTATGTATTCCAAACTGGCCTTTAACTTGTAATGATCTTCCTGCCTCAGCCTGTTGAGTGCTGGGATTATAGCCATGTGCCACCATGCCCGGTTCTGAAAATAATTTATTCTGATATTGCCCTTCTTGGATAATAAGAAAACTCATCCTTATATTTATAAACTATAAAAAATGAGTTAAAAATACTCTTTAATCTGGGAGAGATTTAAAAAGTTAAACTCATAACTACCTCATATATACAACACCAAGAAAGAAAGGCTTATTACCCTGTGATTATCAAGAGTGAAAGAAAGTTTCTCAGATGACGCATAGAAAAATAGCAGAAACATAAGAACTATCAAAGTATCTTTCAATGCAAAAAAATACTGGCCACTTGTAAGTCCCCGGTATTAATGGGTGCTCCATTCCAGTCAATGCAAGAATGGCAGATGGTAGACCAAACTTAACAAAACAGAGTAATGTGACAAAATATTTTGCTCACAGTTGTGTTAAAGTATCATTATACATGTGCATTCACACCTCCTCTCAAAGAATTAATTCAACTGCCTGGCATTGCAGAAACATAGCCCATGCTTTCACCATGTGTTATTTTGCCATTTGAATCTGGTTTTAATCCAATACTAATATTGCAGAGCCAAATGATTTATGTCTTCAGCATTCTGAGCTTGGCAATCTCAACTGTATATGAAAAAGTAGGAATAGATGTAAAAGCTGACAGAAACAGAGGCAGAAACCATTCAGAGACTGGAAAAATAATAACATTACTATAAACAGCTTTTTGACAGTGAAAAGTCTTCATGCAACAGCGGTAAAATCAAGTCTGAGTCTTAGGCACAAGTTCACTTTAGTCACATGTAGTAGTGTGACCTATGGCAAGCAGCTTAATCTTACAAACTTCAGTTTCATCATTTGTAAAAGTGAAAGATATTAATTTTACAGAATAGTTACAAAAGGGATATTCAATAGATATAAATACATTTTATGAATTCTAAATATTAATAACTTCTTAAATAATTAAGTCCTTGTATTTCTTTAGTAATAGGTTCATATTTCAAGAGTATATCGGGCAAAAGCTAATTTAGGTACACATGGCAAGTAATTAAAAGATCACTGGGAGCCCTGGAGTGTGCCAAATTCCTTTAGTTTTCTCAAGAACGAGACTACAAACTATAGATCACAATAAAATATCATCATGATGATTGTTTTTTATAAAATCAGCTTTATTAATATATAATTCATATATTATACAATTCACACATTTAAAATATATAATTGAATACTTTTTAGTATATTTGCAGCATTAAAGGTAGTGATTTCTTTTTAAGATGTTTTGGCTTGAGGTTGGGATGCAGCTCAGTGGTAGAGCACTTGCATAGCTTATGCAGAGGTCCTGGGTTCAATCCCAGCACTACGTATACAAAAAATATGTTTTGGATTTTCAATTTCACTAATTCATTTGTTATCCATTATAAGACTTTGATGAATATACAGGGAACACTCAACTAAAAAATTCACTATCTGCCATTTTTGAAAGTCTGGACAAAGAAAAATGCTAGTAGTAATATTCTTACAGATCCACTAACTTCAGTTATTATATTGCTCCTGGCTGACAATGACAGAAACTTAGGGTTTTGTTTGTTTGTTTGAGACAGGGTCTCATTATATACTTCAGGCCAGACTTGAACTCACTATGTAGCCCAGGCTGGCCTCAAATTTGTAGTGATTCTCAGGCCTCAGCGTCCCAAGTGCTGGAATTACGGGCCTGTGCCACCATGCCTGGCTCCAGAAACTTAGTTCTATACTAGAGGAGTGAAACATAAAACTCAAATCCAACAGAGAGAAAACAGGTATGGTGGCAGGAGGACTGCAAGTCTGAGCATAGCTTGGCAACTTAGTGACTTCGTGAGACCTTGTTTCAAAAAAATTTTTTTAAACGGAGGAAAAGGTTACCTGGGGACATAGCTTAGTGTAAAGGAACTGAGTTCAATACTCAATACTGAAAACAAACAAAAATCATAGTGAGTAAAGGGAAATTCAACTTCTAGTTCTAGCTGTTATTAGCACAGTTTCTGTTAGTATGGTACAGGGGCAGCAAATATGCAATTATTGGCTCTTCCATTATCAGGGAGTCTACACAACTTATCAGGGGATCGTGAACAACAACAAAAAGTGCTGATGCATAAGTCTGCCTCAAAGAGGTTTGGACACATGTTTTGTTGTAAAGCTCTAAAGGAGATAAGGAAGTCAAGGGTGAGGGCAACAACCAGTCACTGAATGGATCAACCACCTACACGGTTGTGTGACCCTAACAAGTTACATAACTTTTTTGTGCCCCAGTTTCCTCATGAGTAAAACAAGAATTCCTAAATGCTTCCCCTTGTTCAGTAGGTTGCTAATATTGAATAATAATACATGGAAATGGTTTGAGAAGCAAGAAGTACCACAAAAAGCTGAAAAGTCCTTGTTACCATTATTAGCTCTCCTTGAGATTTAATGCTTTTACTATAAACTGTGGGTCTGAAAGGCTCGGGATTTAGCTCAGTGGTACTGTGCCTGCCTGGCAAGCATAAGGTTGATTCCCAGTACTGGGAAAAAAAATGAGGGTCTGAATTAGTGTTGCTCACTACCTGGTGAAGCAGACACTTTGAAACAGAGCGCTCACTTGTATTACCAAGATGAGGTCCCTTAAAAGGCAATTCTCTTCTGAAAGTTTCCCTAATGCATTTCTACCATTGTCTTAGTTATCTTTTTCATTGCTGAGAAAAAATATCCAACACTCTAAATTAGAGAAAGGTTTATTTGGCTCACAGTTTGTAGAGGTTTCAGTCCATTAGTTGGCTGTCTCCAAGGCACGCTGGAATGGCAGACAAGCATCACAGAGGAAAAACAGTCCATGGTGGACAAAGGGCAGCAAAGTAGAAGGCAGTGAGCAGCAAAGTAGTGAAGCGGCAAGCAACAAGTGCAGCTCTCTTTCTGTCTCTTATATTCCTCCCAGACTACCCATATGGTAGGTAGGTGCCACTCACACTCTGGGTGGGGCATCCCGAACATTGCACCATAAATCAGTCCCAGCATTACACACTTAATCCCAGCATCACACACTCTAGATCCAGATACCTCTGAAAAGCCCCACCTATGACCACATGAGGCTTTGAGGGGACATCTAGATATAAGCCATAACAAGTATAGAGGGTTACTTCTTTTTTTTTCTTAAGGATGCACCTAATAAGGAAAAACTTTCTTTAAAGGAGCTTTAAGACCTAGGAAAGGGTAGGGAGTATAGTTCTATGGACATGTTTCCCATTCTTACAGAGAAGATAGCACAGAGAAATAAAAGACATAAAACTGCCCCCCCCAAAAAAAACCTGTCCTACTCAGTTTATATGCAACTCAGGTGCTTAACATATGTAGGGGTTCGATGTGGTGGCACATATCTGTAACTTTAGCACTCTGGGAGGCTAGTGCAAAGGATCATGAGTTCATGCCTGTTTGGACAATTTAATGAGAGACCCTGTCTCTAAATTAAAAATTTTAAAAGTCTGGTGATGTAGCTCAGTGCTCAGAATGAAGGCCCTGGATTCAAACCCCAATATCAGCACCATCAAAAAAAGAAGAAAAAAGCTTCCTCTAGTTCTAACTAGCTTTGTGATATTAGGCAAGTGCTTTAAATTCTAAGGTTAAGTTGTAAGAACAATGAACAGTAATGGATAATTATTTCAAGAAATTAGAAAAAGAACAGCTCTGTTGAAATGTAAAGGAAATAATAAAGATATTGTCATTCTTGACCTGAGTGAGACACTCTCAGCCAATATGCAGTCTCAACAAACAACAGGAAACCACTAAAGGGCCATGCTGTTCTCAGTAAAAAGAACAGGTAGCCATAAAGAAAATTTACAAGACATACAATTTCCCTGGCACCAAGAAATCCATTATTATCTACACACCTGCACTGATCATCGTGGCAACTCTGACCCCAAGGATTCTACCCAGATTCCTTAGGATAACCCTACCCCAAACCCTATAAAAACTTAATTTCTCCTCCAGCCAGAGGTTGACATCTTTGTGGATCACAGCTTGCCTGCACGTAGGCAGAATAATCAGCTTTTATTGCTCACATAAAGCCTGAGCCTGGGTGGTTTTTTGCGTGGTGTTTGTTACAGATATAAAGTGATGTCAACTAAATTTTAAAATAATACGATAGGGAAAAAAAACCAAAACCTAAAGTTGGTTCTTTGAAAAGATTACTAAAATTAATAGATCTCTAGCAGGACTGTTAAAAAAAAAGGGAGTTCAGCTTACCACTATCAAGAACACAAAAAGGGACACTGCCATAGATCATATAGATATTAAAAAGATACCCCAGAGCAGAGATTTAGCTCAGTGGTGCAGGCGCCTGCCTCGCAAGCACAAGGTCCCGAGTTTGATCCCTGGTACCACACACACAAAAAAAAGACACTCAACTTTATGTCAATAAATTTGAACATTTAGATAGAATAGACAATTCCTAGAAAAACACAACCTACCAAAATTTAATCAAGAACTAGTGGTCCTTCATAGTCCCTTATCCAATAAAGACTTTGAATCTGTATGTACAGAACCCTCTCATGAGATGTCTAGAACCCCATGGTTTCATTGATGAATTCTTCTAAATATTATGGAAAAATAACATTACTTTCACAAAGTCTTCAAGAGAACAGGAAAAGTGGGACTCTGTCCCACTTTATTTTATGAGGCCACCATAAATTTGATGTTAAAACCTGACCATAACACAAAGGTCCTCTCCTGAAAATACAGACATCTGTTGGGCTGGGGATTTAGCTCAGTGGTGCCACCACCTGCCTCACAAGTGCAAGGTCCTGAGTTCAATCCCCAGTACTAAAAAAAAACCCAAAAAAACAAACAAAAAAATACAGTCATCTGTTGTATCCATGGGGGACTGGATCCAGTATTTGCTGCAAGTATCAAAATCCAAAGAGCTCAAAGTTCCTTAAATAATGTAGTATCTGTATATAACTTACACATATTTTCCCATAGAATCTCTAGATAATTTATTATACCTAATTCAATATAAATGTTATATTAATAGTTGTATTGTTTAGATAATAATGACAAGGAAAAAAGTCTCTACATGTTCAATACACAAAATTTTTTTTCAAATATTTTGCTTGTTTGTTGTTTGGTGTTAGGGATGGAACTCAGGACCTTGTGCTTGTGAGGAAGGCAGCAGAACCACTGAGCCAAACCTCTGGCCCTTTTCAAATATTTCTATGGATGCCAAACCTGAGATATATGGAAAACTGACTATAGTTGCAAAACTCTTCAAATGATAAGAAAAGAAAAAAACAGATCATAACCAAATTGGGTTTTCTCCAAGAAAGCTTGCTTTGTTTAAAAAATGAAAGTCAATCAAAGTAATCCACCACATAACATTTTTAAAAAATCATATTATTATTATATAAGTAAAAAGCATTTGATAAAAGTCAACCCTGGGCCAGGATTTAGCTCAGTAGCGCCAAGCCTATCTCATAAGCACAAGGTCCTGAGTTCAATCCCCAGTACAAAAAAAAAAAAAAAGAGTCAACACTAACTCATTAAAAAGAAAGAACAACATAGGAATAAAAGAAAACTTTCAGGTACACAAGGTTGCATGTGCCTATAATCCCTGAACTTCAAGAGACTGAGGCAGGAGAATTGTAAATTTAAGCCCAGCCTGGGCAACTTAGCAAGATCTGTCTGAAAATTTCAAAAGGTTGAGGAGGTAGTTCAGTGTAAAAGCTCTGAGTTCAATCCCCAGGACTACAAAAAATAAAAAAATAAAAAAAATAGAAAGAAAGAGACAGAGACAAGGGTGGGGGGCACGAGGTAGGGAAGAGGAGGATGAGGAAGAAGAAAAAGAAGCGAATAAGGAAAAGGAGGGAGAAAGAGGAAAAGGAGGTGAAGAGAAGAGGAGAAAAGAGAAAAACTTCCTTATGTGAGAAAGAGTAGCTACACACAACCTAAAGCAAGCATCATATTTAATGATATAATAATGAAGCTTTCTCCCTGAAATTGAGATGAGACAAGGACCTAATTATTAACACTTTTCTGCAGCATTACTTTGGATAGCCTAGTCAGAAATGGAACAATAAAAGAAATTAAAAGTGAGCTGGGAAAGAAATATAAATATCATTTCTGGTTGACATTGCATACATATAATTATATCAAAATAACTCACAGATAGGGCTGGGGGTATAGCTTAGTGGTACAGTGTTTGTCTAGCATGTACAAGGACCTGAATTCAATCTCTAGTACCACAAAAATAAATAAATAACCCATAGATAAACCATTAAAATTAGTAAGTATTTAGTAAGGTCACTGAATACAAGGATCAATTGTATTTCTTTGTAGCAAAGCCAAAAAAGATATTTAAAAGATACCGCTTAAAATAGCAAAAGCTTTCAAACACCTAACACTAAGCCTAATGAGAGATGAATAAATCATTCACACTAAAACTCACAAAAATATTATTGAGATAAATTAGATAAGATCCAAATAAAAGGACATAAAGACCACATTCACAGATTGTACTGAATTGGACATCACAAAATAGATTTCCATCAGCACAAAAAGTTCTATAGGACAGAAGGTATCTAGACTCATGCCAAGTTCATTTCTACCTTTAGGAGTATTCATCTGGAATGCTCTTTCCAGTTTTTGGGATGGCATAATTGCCATAATTGCCATAATTCAGGTTTCAAGTCAAATGAAGCTCTTCAGGGAAACCTAAACATGGATTACACTGTCCAATCTAAAATACCTCCTCAATCTTCACTATCGCCAGATACTCTACCCATTCCCCATTTTATTTTCTTCATAGCACTCTTTACTAATTGAAATTATTTTATTTTGTTCTTTTCTCTCTCTACCCTTAGAACAAAAAATCCATGGAGCTCCATATTTGTGTGTTCACAGCTGTATCTCCAGTGACTAGAACAATACTTGGCACATAGGAAGTAGAAAATGAATTGTTGAACAGCCAAGGGCAGTAGCATATGCCTGCAATCCTAGCTATTGCTGGGGGACAGTGGTGAAGCAGGAGAATAGCAAGTTCAAGCCAATTTGGTGCAATTAGGGAGACCCTGTCCTAAAATAAAAATTAAAAGGGCAGGGATGGAAATCAACGAAGGGACATTTGCCCAACATAAACTAAACTCCAGGTTTGAGCCCTAGCACTGCAGGGGGTGGGGATTATTGAACAAAGTAAAAAATTAGATTTATAATTCTAATTCTAGTAGTGTTTGATACATTGCTGTCTACCAGTAGAATCCTAATTGAGTTACTATTTTCACTGAACATCAGTTCTCTTTTTGAAAAACGTAGATTCCACTGAATTAAATAATTAGTAAGATCTCTTTCATTTGCCACAGACATTCTTTGTGAATCTGAGAAAACTTATTCTCCTATAGATGTCTATATTTCCTTTATCTCTGCAATGAATTACAATTCAATTCAAATATAATTCAATTATAATACATCATTAATATTCAATACAAACCTCCGTCAAGGCTCCGGGATGCCCGTTTGCTTGCCGTACGTTCAAAGTGTGGGGCAGGCCTGTCAATTAGAGCACTAGCTTGCCTGGTCTGAGCTTGAGTCCGGCCACTGTATCGAAATTTGGATCCCAGGGCAAGAAATTTGCTTTTGGGAATGGTGTCTGTAGAAGTCAGTCTGGGGAACAAAATTAATAGTCATACAATTAATATATATATGCAATTATCTCATTCTGAGACTGTAAATCTAAAAATAAAATCAAGAATAAAAAATATTTCACACTTCTCATGGTTCAACTATGGTTACTAAGAGATTTTTTTCAATCAAGCAATCATTATTTTAGTTCTACATCATAACCGAAAACAACCATAATTCAGTTGCGACCTATATTAATAATATCATGTTATATTTCTATAGGTAGTGTCTTTTAGTTTTCAAAATGCTTTTATTGTACTGCAATATTTTCACCACATCCCTATAATGTTTCTACCATTTATAAATACAGGACAAAGTTAAAAGACTGGGCAGTAACAAAGTTCAAACCCAGGTCTGATTTTAGCTAGTTAGGCCAATCATGGATGACCTAGTACACAAAGATTCTTATTCCTCACATCTTGCCTTCTATCGTACATAGAAAGTGGGGTTTTCTTTTGTTTTGTTTTGTTTTTTGAGACAATGTCTCACTATGTAGTTGAAACTGACCTGGAACTCACTATGTAGCCCAGGCTGGTCTCGAACTCACAGAGATCCTCTTGCCTCAGCCTCCCAAGTGCTGGGATTACAGGTGTGCACCACCATGCCCAGTTTACGGAAGTGGTTTTGAGAATGGTGAGGCATGCTTTTCAGCCCAAATGGGAAGACAAAATTTTTGTCTTAAGATAATCCAACCTGAGCTAAAAGTGCCAGTCACATGAAGAAAATTTCAAAGCAGACTTAAAATAGAAACATGCATAATTTGTCCTTGAATAATATTTAAGTGACAATAATACCTGAAAAATGTGTGATGCTCTACACAGACTTTCCATAATTTCTTAGCTGCTCGGTAACTGGGAAGTTTAAATCCAATGGTACTTTCATACTGTTCTTGCTAAAAACACATAAATATACATGAAATATTAGTTGACCACACTGATAAAATACCACAGAAATAAGGTATCACCAACAAAGTCATTGTAAATATAGTGAATGTTACCAATTTAAGGACAAAGTATCATTCGAAAATTTTTCCATACTTATTCACAACGAAGTTCTACTCGCCATAATGAAGGATAAACTCGAGTCATTTGTAGGTAAATGGATGCATCTTGAAACCACAATATTAAATGAAATAAATCAGACACACAAGCTTAAATATCATATGGTCTCTCATGTATGAGGAACCAAAAATACAAATAAAGAGCAAAATAAAAGATAATAAGCAGATAGATCTTTTTCAAATGGGAAGGGAAACAAGACAGAAGGTGGGGGAAGAAGGGAAAGGGGATTGAAAAAAAAAGAATTGGAACAAAGTAGAAATAGAGTTTTTCCAAATGGAAAGGGACCAAGAGATGAAAGGAGCAGGGAAGAAGAGGAGGAGTAGGAGATAAAAAAGAATTAAGATGTGTTATGTACTTGTACCAACTCCCCACAAAGAATGTGATCATTGTGTACTACAAACACGTACTAATTAAAATTAAAACGTCCCCCTACTTCCCAAAAGAAATGTACTCACTGAGGTGGTGTTTTCTAAACAAGAGAGCCATGAACTGCATCTTACATTTAGGGGGAGTATGTATGTGATACTGGGGATTGCACCCACGACATTTACACTGAGCTGTATCCCTAGACTTTTAATTTTTTTATTTTGAGACAGGGTCTTGCTAAATTGCCCAGGTTGACTTCAAACTCTTGATCTTCTTGCCTCAGCCTCCCAGAGTTCTGGGATTACCAGTGTGCACCATCATGCTTGACTATATACTATATTTTTGTTTAGAAAACACATGATGTACACTGGGCATTTTTCTGAGATATAACTAAGCCACCTTTTGATTGTCTAGATACTGATTTTCCTTAGTCATTGTCTGTATTTGGGACACAAATTACTCATTGATCAGGGAATTAGACATCAAGAAATTCCTCCAATCAATAAATATTATTATGCAATTTTCAATAGAAGCTAAAATTTTGGCTTAAATTAGATTCTTTTAAAAATTAATTTTTAAGGGGCCAGGGATTTAGCTCAGTGGTTCTGCCACCTGCCTTGCAAGCTGTAGGACCTGAGTTTGCTCCCCAGTACCAAAAAAAAAGAGTGACTCAGCTAAAAATTAATTTTTAGAATTGGCAAATGATCTAGGTATCTTCCCAAAAAGACATAATGCTACAGTGATACATGTATATCCACATTTAGAGCAGCAGAATTCATAACAGCTAAAATGGGAAGAGGCCTGTATGTCAATAAATGAATAGATAAAGAAAATGTGGTATTTATACATAATGGAATACTTCTCTGCCATAAGGAAGAATAAACTTGAGACATTTGTAGGAAAATAGATGTACCTTGAGACCATAATGTTAAATGAAATAAATCAGACACACAAACTTAAATATCATATGGTTTCTCTTATAGAGAAACCAAAAATATAAAGAGCAAAATAAAAGGTCATGGGAAATAGGGAAATAGATCTTCTGCAAGTGGGAAGGGGATCAAGAGAAGGAGGGAGGGTGTGGGAGGAGAGGGGAAAGGGATGAAAAGAGAATTGAGTTGTGTTATGTACATGACCAATTCCCTATGAGGAATGTAATCATTATGTGCTACAAATATGTGCTAATAAAAGTTAAAAGTGAAAAAAATCTAAAAAGAATTAGCAAATGAAAACTGCATGTTTATGTTTAGGCATGTTGTTTTGAATCATACATACATTGTACAATAGTTAAATCAAGCCAATCTGTATATTAAGTCATATCATTTTTGTGATGAGAACACTTAAAATTTACTCAGCATATTGGGGGGCTTTGCGCTGGGAATTTAACCAAGGGCCTCACGCATGCTAGGCATTGCTTAGCAATTTTCAAGAATACAGTATAATACACTGTTAACTATAGTCACTACATTGTAAAACAGGCCTCTTGAACTTATTTCCCAAATTCTTGAATTATTAAATATTTTATCTTTGTTCTTTTGATTCATCATTAATTTGTCTAGATACGTCTTTGACTGAAGAAACTGAATCCTTCCAGGCATACTGTTTGTCTCTTGCCATTTTGTTAGTGCCTTAAGCATACTTTATAAGATAGAGAATGACATTTGTTTTGAGTGCCTATTATTGCAAATACCACTATATTATATACGATTATCTGTATTTTTATATACCAAGAAACTAAGGTCAGAGAATGTAAGTGCTCAATCTCACAGCTATGAAATAACAAAACTATAATGTCACCTTCTCCACTATAAATCATCCACTGTAGTCATAATATTCTACTTCTCAGATCCTGTTCCTGATTCCTTTCTTAAGAATACATTTTAGTATATTTAAATAGTTGACACTTGCAAAGACTAAAGATTTCCTATTATCATATTTATTAATATTTTATATATAGCTTTTTATCTGTCTTCTCATATTAAGATGTAAGACTGTTGAGAGATGTGATGCTTTTACTTACTGTTATATTTCTAGCCCCTAGAATAATGACTGACAAAGAAAGCAGTCAATAAATATTTGCTGATGGAATGACTCTTGGATTTGAAACTTTGAGAGAAGACACTGATACTTTGTGCTAGGCACAGGTCAATACTTATGGTGTAGATCTGGGGATATAGCTCCCAGAAGAGCTCTTGCCTAGCATAAGCAAGGCCCTGGGTTTGATCCCCGGCACTACAAAAAAAAAAAAAAATGTTCAAAGTAAATACATCAATGACAATCCCCACCCAAGATTTTTATTTTTCAGAGAGAACACACACAAAGTTTTATTGGGAGTGTTTACAGGGGTAGGTAGAAGGAAGGGAAGCCACAAAGGGAAAGGGGGGTGGTTGTGGATACAAGGCAGACACATAAACACAGAATGACTCCTACACCACCCCAAACCAGGATGGGGCATGGCTGGGCCCAGGAAGACTAGGACAGGACAACAATGTGAGTCTGAGTCCTTTGGCTGGGCTCCCAAGGGTTATAAATATTGGCCACTCTGAGAGGAGATGAGGTAGGAAAAGGCTTCCCATATACTTCCTCCCAGGGTTAAGGCCTTCCCCAGTCCTCCAAGCTCAAAGTCTCTTTATTTAGGGTGAAGGTACAGGAAAAGCATCCCCTCCTTCTCTAGTGTCCCCTAGCCCCCAGCATAGGCTGTGGCAGGGGCAATGCAGTAATTTTTCAGTCACCAAAGAGTCATCCCTACCCCTCTAATGCCACCACACTGGCAAGAAGGAAGGGGGTGCTGGGGGGCCAGCAGCAGCAAGACATTGTTTTAGAGATAATATTGTCTTTTTCCAAACACTAACACTGAATCCTGGGACAAGTAGGTGGAGGTCCCCGTACCTGAACGCCAGGTTTATCTCCAGTATTGACCCAGTTGCCACTCTGGTGCCAAAAAAAGTCCTATCTCTGGGGATAGATGGAGAAAGAAACTGGGACAGCTTCCCACTTTCCTAGGATAGGAAGGAGCAACACATTCATCCCACCCAATTTTAAGGTTGCACATCAAAATTCCCAGGTTGAAGTAGTAAGCCGTTTCTCGCCAGCAGATGGTGGTATATACACAAAAAAGCCACCCTACATTAGTATGGTTCTTTTCTGTTTAGAGCTTTCACAGTTGTCTTCATATTTGATCTTCAAATCAACAAGAATGAAGGAGGTGGCATTACCCTTTTTAAATGATAAGATTTGTCCAGAGTCTTTTGCTTAGTAAGTGGCAGAGAACTTTTTAAAAAATATTTTAATTCCTACTAAGGAATTTTTCTGTTGTGCCATAGTACAATAGCTCTTTAGTATAAAAGTTAAAATTGCTAGCATTAGTATATTCTGAAATTTGTCCACAAACTAATTACTGAGTTATCTGGTACAAGACTGAACATAATACTTTATTTAAATTCTAGAACTATGCATGAGGCCCTGGATTCAGTCCACTCTCCAATAAATCTGGAGCTTGACCCTAGAACACAATCTCAGTAATCTGTGTATACAAATACATTTTAATTATAGAAGGTAAGGGATTGGTGGTGCAAAACTTGAATAATTCAACCCCACAAAAATTTTTTAAATCTCATGCAACTTAATTAAAAATTTTTTCCATCAATTTTTCTGCCTGGAGTAAACAAGAAACAAGTTTATCCAGGTTTCACTTTTGGCAATGCGATTTTACTTACAGGCAGAGAAGTGTCCAGAAGATCAGTAATAAGAAAGAAAAGAAGCATTACAAGACCGATCCATTTAGAAAACAAACTTATCCGCCTCTATATATTTAGCTATAGAGAAACCTCTTAGACGACATAACAAGGAAAATGGGAATGAGAAGTGCTTTAAACATTGCATTTGGTTTGGTAGGAAAGAAATGAATTCTGTACCTCTCCAGGCCGGATCTTGATAAAAAAGCTGCTACGTTTATAAGAAATCTTCAGCACTTTGGGCCAAGGAAAACGGTTAATTCTCAACTTATCTTTGTAAACCAAAAGGCCACTTGAGCAGACACCTAGAATGATATCCACTCCCTCCAAGTCCTAAAAAAGAAATAATCAGCATTTCAGTCTTTAGTGCTCAGCATATTGTTGATGATTATTAGATAATTTGGAGGCATTAACAATCAAAAACAGATTCAAAGCAAATGATGAAAACCAAGTTTAACCTAACCATCATAATAATCCATGACAGTACTATTATTATTTATTTTATTTTTTTTATTTTTTGGTACCAGGGATTGAACTTGGGTCCTTGCGCTTGCAAGGCAGGCGGCGGAACCACTGAGCTAAATCCCCGGCCCCTGACAGTACTATTCTTAAATCAGCAGATATGTCTTCTTGGAGCCAGGGCTTACATATGCTACCAAATACACTTGCACAATTAGAATTCTATTTTTGATGATAAAGTAGTAATTCCTTCAGATATAAAATAAAGAATTGACTGCATTCCTATATAAACTCAATGTAAGAAAAATCTCAGGTTAAGATAACTGATGTTAAGTATATTAAATTATAATTATCACTGAGCCTAGAAGAAAAGGCAAAATGAAGCCATATTTACATGTCCCTAAAGAAATGTTTAAAATTTAACCATTTATATCATTCAAGGAAAGTAACCTGAGTTACCTCTACCAATGACTATTTGTTTAGCTAAATAATTAAAACCTAGAGTTGGATGCTTCTTAACGACTCCTTTTCCTAAAATGATTACAGAGAAAAATATTAGTGTCTACTGACATTATATACAAGCATAACAAAGATGAACAAATTATATTCAGCTTCAATTCAATACTACGTAGTTGAAAACTTAGCAGAAGATACCCTCTTAAGTTTTTTAAGGCTATGTGCACAACTATCTCTCTTAAAAAAAAAATTAGAGCAACAATCTGCTTTACAACATTTGGGAAAGGAACATACTGACTCCATCCATTCCTGATTGACATCAAGCTCCAGCAGGAAATAAGAAGTAAAACCTAACAATTTCAGCTCTGGAGCTTGATATCAATCTAATATACTGATATGACTACCATCTACTTTAGAGATTCATAGAAGTTACAGTACCCAGACTAAAACAATCCAGAGCAATATCTTAAAGAAAAACCATGAACATGCATGGAAATTTTACTAGAATTAACAGAATTTAAAAGAAGAAACAGATATCCCAGGAATTTAGCTCAGCGGTTCGGTGGCCTGCCTTACAAGTGCAAGGACCCAAGTTCAATCCCCGGTACCAAAAAAAAAAAAAAAAGAAGAAGAAGAAGAAACAGATATTCAGGCTGGGGAAGTCCTGAAAGATCATTCTAGTTCAGTCACAGACCGGATGCTTTAATGTCCTTTTCTAAATTTCAATCCAAGTGATTATTCTGCCTATCCTGGAATACCTGCAGGGAGCTCAGTACCCTGAGGTAACCCACTCCATCTTTGAAAAGCTCTGCTAGACAATTTGTCAAATTGAGCTGAACAACATATTTCCCTATAATTTCCATTTTACTACTTCTAGGTTTATTTCTTGGAGCCACAGTAAAATCTCTGCTTCACATATTATCCTTTTTAATACAAAAAAGATAGATATTACATCTTCCTAGAACTTTCTTATTTGTGGACTAAGTACCCTTGTTCTTTTAACTGTGTCTTACTGGATATGGTTTGAGTCTCCTCATTATGCACATTAGTTAACTTGCTCAGGGCCAGGGATTTAGCTCAGTGGTTCTGTCACCTGCCTCGCAAACACAAGGTCCTGAGTTTGATCCCTGGTACCAAAAAAGAAAAAAAGAAAAGTAACGTGCTCTGAATGAACTTCTGATATCCCCTTGGGTCCTTTTCCTCACAATCTCTTCAATATCCCTAGTCAATTTACTAACTGAAGAAGAAAGAAATTAAGCAACTTACCTGTAAGTATTCACTCTATTAGACTGTGTTAGGCAGAAGACTTAAAGCACCTATAATCCCAGTATTCAAGAGGCTGAGGCAGAATTGTATATTTGAGTCCTACCTAGAAAACTTAGGGAGACTGTCTCAAAATAAAAATAAAATAAAATAAAATGTAGTAGCCCAGTGTGGAAGGTCCTGGGTTCAAAACTAAGTAAAAAAAAAAAAAAAAAAGACCAAATTTCCAGTATTCTAATCTGCTGCTTCTAAAATGAACCACTGTGGTTCATTCAGTCTACACCAAAATCACACTTGAAGAACTTATTAAAACAGATTGCTGAGAGGCCGGGGATTTAGCTCAGTGGTTCCGCTGCCTGCCTCGCAAGCACAAGGACCTGAGTTCGATCCCCAGTACCAAAAAATAAATAAATAAAATAAAAAATAAAACAGATTCCTGAGCTCCACTCTAGCTTCTGATTCACTGTGGGAAGGGCGTTCTAACAAATTGCTAGGTAATGATAAATGTTGCTGACCACATTCTGAGAACCATTATTCTGGGCCAATGGTTCTCAGATTTAAGAAGGTATTAAAATCATTTACGATGCTCATTAAATCTGCAAATGCTGAAGCCTCTCCTCCAAAGTAGGTCTATAAATCTGGGAGGAGCTCAGGAATCTGTAAGCTTAAGAGACATTGCAGGTGATTTTGGTGACAATGGCAATAAAATATGCCTTGCTGTCTATATTTTTTAATGTAACTGCATTTTAGAAAAATATAATTTTGGGCTGGGGATTTAGCTCAGTGGTTCCGCCATCTGCCTTGCAAGTGCAAGGACCCGAGTTCAATCCCCTGTACCAAAAAAAAAAAAAAGCGAAAAATAAAATTTCTTTTTCTCTGGCTGTTACATCTTTTGATCTTCACAGCAACTTGGCGTGGAACTTTATTCTAGTAGTAGAATTTCTTAGGTACAACTGAATTGATACACTTAAAATTCTAACAAGAATCACTATTTTTAAGTAAATACTCCAGATAAATATTGATAAGAAATATTATATGCCACAAGTGTGATATACACGTAACAGACATGTGTCATATAATGCATAAAGTTATCATTACCTTCGCTTTATGAAGATCAACTCCATACATAGACAACTTTTTGGCATTCTCCAGAAATTCCAAGTCAGCCTGAGCTGGAGTCATAGACCTTTGATATAATAAAAATTTTAAAATCACTGTCATAGTATCAACATTTATAGTAATAACAATTATACATTTGTTGTGCTTTATGTAAATATATATATATATACACTAATATGTACATAAAATATATTTCATAGTTCCAAATATATTTCATAGTCCCAGAGATTAGGGAATCTCATCACTAACAGTGACTAAATAATTAAAATATGCCTAAGAAAAAGAGATCTTAAGGAAACAAAAATTCACTAAAAAAGCTATCAAGCTTTTTTCAAAGCTATTTTTCAATCCTACTAAACAATTTCTTTAAAGCTACCTAAGGTTATCCACCATCAGTTCACTCTTTAGCATTTTTTCTACATCATACATAATTCATCCCACTAATTTTCTTGCCAGATAGACGACTAAATTAAATCCTCAGGGGGCATGGTGCAATTTACAAGATCCTCTTAGCTGCCTTTTTCTCTCTACATCCCTGAATTGAGTTATTGTGGAGGGTAGCTGACATTACTTAAGTAGGACTCTTAATGGGGGCAAGTTTGATGAAAAGAAATTTTCTGGTAACAGATGGTGTCCTGCCCACTGATCTATACAAACTAAATTGGTTAATAGGAGCACACAGATAATGAGATTGCTTTCTGTTATTAAGACATCTTCATTACTAGGCATATAATGAATTAGATTTGTCTGAAAACAATCAGACTCGCTGTCTAAACATTCACTGCGACAGTCATTCCTTTTCCTTTAGAAGTTTCCTCTCTTTTGAGATGTGCTCACAAGCTATTATGTTGAGCATTCAGGACAAAGACATCACTCCTAATGCTGTACAATTCAGACTAATCAAGTATAACTTCATAGTAACAACACAGACGGCATCCCCAAAGAAAAATCATGGAAATCCCAGTTTCCCATAAGACTGCCTCAAGCCATAGAAAGCAGCAGGGGTCTCTTCATTTAACAAGGACAAGTCTCTCCCAAACCCATCTGTCTTTGCCCTCGTTAAAAAAAACAAAGGATTCCTTGGAACAACCACCATCGAAAGAAAAAAACCTCAGGAGAAATGGCAGATTTGTTAATAACATAGCTTCCCTAAATAAACTTTTCTGAAAGCTCTACAGCATCACACTTGAACTCTATTTACTTAGTGGACCTGAATTTGAAGATTAGAAAAAAAAAAGAGAATGGGAAAATTAAGCCACACTGAAAGTCAATCAAAAGCAAGTTCTGTAGCTGTATTTTGTTTCCACATTCAACTGATATACCTCTATTTTTCTAGTTAGGTTACTACCAGTTATTTTATAATTTCATTGTTGCTATTATCGATGGAATTCATTTTAGAATTTTAAAGTTGGAATGGAACTTGATCACAGAGTTCAAATTTTTCATTTTTCTGTTAAAGAAACAGGCCTGGAGGGGTCACATGATCACAACAGGTTAGGATCTTAGTTTAAAGCAGCAGGCTTAAGTCAAGTCTCAAATTACATACTAGGGACTAGGGTCCTTGAATCCTGGCTCTTGCACTCAGAGGAGAAGGGAGATACGTGTCTTCCTCAAGTTTCTTTAATGAAGTAAGAATCACATCTACTCTACAATACCAGGACTGCCAATGCTTTTTTTTTTTTTTGGTCTTTGCTAAATAAAAGAATGTGACTAATAGATCAAATAAGATAATGATTATAAAACTGCTTAGTAAACTGTTTTTGTTTTGTTTTGAGAAGGGGTCTCACTTTGTAGTCCAGGCTACAATTCTCAATCCTCCTGCCTTAGCCTCCCAAGTGTTGGGATTACAGGTTTATACCACCACACACAGATAAAAAAAGATCTTTAACTTTAAAACTTCTTAGCTGAAAATATATTTAAAGTTTGGCTGATGCTTGCATTTATAATATTTTATATTATGTTTAGATTTTTTAAATAGTTATGTTCCTTTTTATTTTTTTTTTTTAATTTTGTTTTTGTGGTAGCTAGGGTTAAATCTAGGGCCTTCACACTGAGCTACAATCCCAGACCTTTTCTATATTTTATTTTTGAGACAGGGTCTTGTTAAGTCTCTAAATTGCCCAGAAAGAGCTCAATCTACCTGCTCAGCCTCCCAGAGTAATGGGATTACAAGTGTGCATCACCACACGTAGTTTGAAATGATTATGCTTCTTAAATTATATACAATACAAATCATTTTTCCTGAAATACTTGAGGAGTAAACTACCAATCCACCACTCTTGAATATTTTTGTTTATATTTTCTACAAAGGACATCCTTCTATATATAATGCCCAAACCAGGAAATCAACACTGATATACACTGCCACATAGTCCTCAAGCCGCACTAAGTTTAGCCAGTGTTGCAGAAGGATCCCTTTTAACATCAGTTTTGCTTAGTTCATGTTTAGTCTTCATCTGAAACAGTTCCTTATTCTTTCTTAGACTTCAGTCAAGTACTTAACCAGTGAGATATACCTCCAGCCCTCAGGTTATGCCACTTTGACACAAATATCACAGAAAGGCTTTGTCTCACTGCATCCTACCAGATGGTACACAATTTCAGTTTGTCTTTTCACAGATGCTGTTCATTTTGATCGTTGATGTCTGTAAGGCTTCCTCTGTAAAATTCTTTTAACTAGCAACCACTTTTGTGGGGGATATTTCTGAAACTTCTGAATAGTCTATCCCTTATCAAACTTTCACTTTACTCACTTATATCAGTATGGACTCAGATTCTCATCTTATTCAATGCAATATAATCAATTATGTTCTTCATTTTCATGCTTAAATGGCTCCAGATTTGGCCAGTGGAAGCCTCTTCAAGATTGACTGTGTGTCCTTCTGAACATTACTCACTTTTTTTTTTTGGTACCGGGGATGGAACTCTGGATCTTAGGCTTGCGAGGCAGGAGGCGGCACCATTGAGCTAAATCCCCGGCCCTATTACTCACTTTTTGAGCCTCTCTTCCCAGCACAATATATATTCATGTGTGTGCCTCTGTGTATATGTATGTATCTACACCTATATTTTCATATTCCTTTAGCTATAAATTAGAAAACATGAGTTCACTCTGAAACCTGTTTCAACACAATGCCATAAGGTTCACTTTAGTTTTTCCCTTTCCATAACTTGTTGTTTTTGTTGCCTGAAACAAAATCTCACTATGTAACTCAGGCTGGCCTTGAACTTGCTGCAATCCTCCTGGCTCAGCCTCTCAAGTGCTGGGATCACAGGCATGTGTCACTACATCCAGTTTCCCTTTCCGTAATTTGTATCTCCTTTATTGACTTTCATCCTGAATATTTTTACTAATATTTTTCTCCCCACCTGATATATAAGCAATCTGTCATTACTACCAGTAACTCCTCCCACACAAAAATGTCCTCTTTATCTCACTGAGGTTCTGACTCCCAGTGTTAGGTTACTTCTCCCATGGACTCCTCCTTTACCCTGCTCACCCATATAGATGCCCTCTGCACTTTCCATAGGCCCTATCCTCAGATATATGCCCTTCTTGGCCTCTGAAACTCACCAGCAGTGTCCATACTTGACTCCCTGCCTCATGGGTTGGAGCTGTAACTCCTCAACCTTAGAACCTACAAACACTCTGTTTAGGGCACAATATCCTAAGCCAGACTGCTTCTCGGCATGGTAATCACCTTGCTCTGCCAATGTTCTAGAAAGCTTTTTCCAATTATAAAAATCAGATACACAATATCATTGAGAAAAAAAAAAGGGAGAAATCTCCCATAATCTCACCATCCACCGATATCTGTACACATAAGTACAACATATATATTTCATAAATTAATATCACAAATTAAACTTAAAGATAAGATTTTCCTAAAATGTCTAAGACCTTTGAAAGTCATAACCAACCAGCTGGGAAGAGACTGGATATCTCTAAACCATTAAGGGTAGTATCCAAAATTATTCACATCACCTAAAAATTTACTACTTGTAAGTGCTGCAGCTTACAAAAGTACCTAAAAAAGGAAGTTCTGGCATTGGTTAATCTTGCTTATTACAGATAGAAGTTAGAGCACTGTTTTCCTGTTTTTATTATTTCAAGCAAATGGGGTCAAAAGAGCCATCTGTGAATTACAGTGTTATATGACAACCTTTTAATAATGTTTACTGCATCTCCCAATTAAGGATTGTGATCTCAAATGACAAGGTGGGGGACAATTGACAAGCTTATATACCTCCCTAGGGCCCGCAAGTGAAAGGGAGTTAATGTTGAAACTTGATTTACTAGTATTAACTTGAAAGTTAATTGCAGGTTCAACATTCTTGCCTTGGCAAAAGACTACCACCACAGGTTTCACTTACACAGGTTGTCGTCTGTTTGTCTGAGAAGCAGGGTGGTATAGGTGCTTTTATTTTTCAAAGCAAGTAAAATACTTATGCCTCAGCACACATTTCTTTGGATTGGCTAACACACCACACTGTTGGACCCAATTACATTTTGCATTTGGATTTTCTGCTTGTGAGGGCTGCCAATCCTTCTAAAAAAGAACAAGTAAATTCCAGAATGACAGATTTCTACATTTTCATGGAGATTATTATTGTTCAATATCAGTCATAAAACTAACAGAACATCAATTGGGCTTTATCCATGCGTCCTTTAAAATTGTTCCATCTATTTACATTCTGTTAAGGTCTAAGAGTAGTTCTCTAAACAAAGACTCATTCACTGTTTGTAAAATGAGGATGAGAATTATTATTATCCTACCAAATATCTGAACTCTCATTATATAGTAGTCATTGTGCTAAGTATTTTACATAAATTTTCTGATTTAACAATTATAAAATTCACATTATCATCCTTATTTTTCAGAGGAAGAAATTAAAGGTTCAAGGCTTACTAGGAGTAACATACTAAAAGTCATACAGCTAAGAAGGAATAGAGGCTGAATTCAATGGGGGACAGGCTGACTCCAAAGCCAGTTATTTTAACTATGTGTCCTATATGCCTAACTCAATCATTTTCAAACTCTTTTGATCTTTGGAACTCTTTATCCT